GCCCCATCCAGAAGACTAAGCAGATCCGAACATCACATTTTTTTTGCGTCCCCAGACGTGAAGGGCCAAGAAAAAAACCTCTCCGGTCCTATCCGACCGATGCTGCCAGGCCAACAGACAAGGCGTCGTGGACACCGACATCCTGTCAGCCTGCTCACTCGGAGCGCTCGTGAGTGAGAAGGTTTCTGTGGGATAGGGTTGCTCCTTTCGCAATCAAAGAACCGAAAGGTGCAAGACTCAGGTTCCCGCTTTTTGGCTACCCCAAGGAAGATTTAACCACATTTCAGCTAGACCTTAAAAAAGGCCCTGCTTGTTGGATCCGTTGCCAGCCGTCCTTCATCATGTCTTGGGAGCTGGTCAGCATCATGTTTGGGAGGGGTGGTCAACATGGCTGTAGGGAGGTCTCAACTTGGTGTTTGCCCAAGATGAGGAGAGGAGACTCGCTGGATGTCAGCAGTAAACTTTTAGAAGGAGAATCTGCCTGATGTGCAGCTGGGTCCTGTAGAATGGACATTTTGAGGATTTCTCAGAATTGCTTTCGGGGTGATTTCAGATGTCACTTTAGTGGACCAAGCTCACTATCCAACAATCAACGCGGTGACCAAAAAGAACACACTAACATTGTAAAACCTGCAAACCACCAAGACTCCAACGTATTTCGCGCTATTTCCAGAGCCCGGAGCCGTTTCAGGTTATGAACTCCATCCGCGAGGCGCGGTAAACTCGGGAAGTTCTTCTGGGAGCGCGTGTCTCGTTTTGAGGAACCCACGTGTTGGTTGGTTTGAAGGGAAACCAAGAGGACACCCACCATTTTAGGGGTCCCCTAATTTTGAGACACAACCATGGGGGGACTTCCTGGGCAGCACGCTGGCTCAGTACGGCAAGAAAGTATAGGCCAGAGTGGTGGTCTGTTTTGACCCGGAGCAGATCCTGTTGGGCACCCAGTCCTGAAGTCCAGAGAGAGGAGCGCAGGTGATTCCCTACACGATTGGAATTAAGGGCATCGGTTCCCACTTTGAGCGGCCTATGGACTCCGAGTGGGACGTATGCCGTATGCCGATCGGGTGGCGATTCTGATCTGCAGTACTTGGACTACAATGACTACAATCCGTACTTTGAGTACAACCCGCATCACGCACTTGTGTTACAGGCCATGCACAACTAAGTTCGGTGCACAAAGAAGCCAAAAAGGATGGGCCAAACGGGCGTCCCAGCCCATGTCTTTTCTCTGCTTTTGTTGGGAGATTGCTCTGGAGTTGTTTTTCATCGAGGAAGCCGCTTTATTACCAACTAGCCCAAAAAGGGGGTGCAAAGCAAGCGGTTTTTTTCTTCCGTGAAAAATCACGCCCCGGTCTGGGGAGCGGAAACAAAGGTTTCACACGCGACTGGCTGGAGCCGAACTTGATTCAGGGGTTGATTCCCATTCTTTCAACCATCGTTCTTTTCAAAAAAGCAGCTGTTTCTCCAGGGTGGTGGGGTGGTCTTGTAGAAGGATGCCTGGAAAGAATGGAAACGGGGAGGTACCCCTAGATTGGATGATTTCTTGGTTCGGTTTCTTGGCCGCTGTCCGCGAGAGCCAGGCGACCAAGGTGATCTCGAAGCTGGTGAACACCGCGCCCCTGGCGCAGGCGGGTGCCGAAGCCGGTGCTTTTCGGCGGAAGGGACGGCCACGGAAGGGCACCGAAACTGGGAGGGAGCTTCCCGGTTGGCATGTTTTTTTTCCGGTTGTTGCGGTTTTCGGCTGTTGTGGTTTTTGGTTGTTCATTTTTCGTGGGTGGCTTGGAACCAATCGGCAGTTCTGTTCTCGCTGACATGCGGCTTGGAAACATCGATGGCCTTTTTAGGTCAGTTTGGATGGACATAGATGGGTTCCACTGCCGTAGATGGGCTTTCATGCCGTCCACTTCCCAGGGAAACCCTATTCTTGACCAAAAGGCCACCTCTGCTTTTTCCCAAGCTTTGCCAGGGACACTTGTTCTATTCCTACCAGGGAAGCCAAAACGCGATGCGTCAGCGCGCGACAAGTCACGCGCCGCCAGGCGGAGCTGCTGGGCCTGGAGGGCGCAGTGAACGTCCAGGGCGAGGCGCGGCCGGGACGTTCTCCGGCTCGGATGTGTGGAGAATTTTTATTCAGGGAGTAGGGAGCGGGGGTGGATAGTTGAGAGCCCCAGGGTTCCTTGGCTTAGGGTTCTTGAGGGCCCTAGGAAATCTTGCTCCATAGTTGATGTTTGGAGGTGCAAACGTCGGGGGTGTTACTTGATTTGGGCTGTTTTGTTTACGTGAAGTTTTGGTACCAACTTTTTTGGGTTGGTTCAAAGGGAAACCAACAGGAAGCCATGTGGGGGGGATACCGTTTTTTCCCCCAAGCTGATAGGCACAGACAGGCGATACGGGGTGGTTTGGGGCAGCTTTCAGCGAGGGTTGCGGACCAAGTTGCGGAGGGTTCCTTGTTGGGGATACCACCTGGGCTTATGTTTCTGCCCCTTCTGGGGTTTTGACGGTAAGATAAAGGGCTGTTGGTGAACAACCTCCAATAATCACGACCAATTGTGTTTCTAAAGGTGGCAGTGACGACTGTGAGTCAACCATGAACATGTTTCTCCATTCTAATGTTTAACTGACATGTTTTCAGGGCGATCCAGTGTTTGAGGTTCTGTGCAAAGTATGTAAAGGGCCGAGTAATTACCAGTTGTTCACTCCAATAATCATGACTATTTACAAATGTGATTTTAAAGTACACCACCCATTCCAATTGTTGAGCGGCCCTTATAGTACTCTCGAGGCGTTGTTTAAGGGACAACCGGAAAGAAACAAAGATTGGAATTCCTTTCGTTGTTGCACAACCCCCACAAGGTGGATTCATAAACCCATGGTTGATAAATAGGAGGGGTGCAACCCATTTCAGAGGGCATTTGGATCACTTGTCGGGGAAGCACCAGTTAACCCGGAGGACCCTACAAGTCAGAGGAACCCCCTAAAGTATGCTCCGCCATTTGATTACTGCGGACGATTCTGAACTTGGCTGGTCAGCGGCTCGCTGGCCTGTCACTCGCAACAATTGCTCCAGGGAGCGAAGATCAGAGCTTTGCTGCCAGTTGACCGGGTGTCCTCGGATCTTTGATCCTGAAAACCGGGTCTTTGCGGTCCCCGGCGTTCTCTTCGTCAAAACCGAAGGCCATGCGCCTCGCAAGCAGAGCACCAAGCCTTGGCGCCTGATATGGACTCTATCAGAGCTTGATCGCCTGCTCGACTTTTGAGTGCAAGCGGGAGCAGGACCACCGCGACCTCAGTGCCTTCCGTATTTGGGACTGGAAAGCCACAAACTCCTCTTGAGGCGCTGGGAAACTGGTTTCAGAGGCCGCCTCGAGCTTACCGTGAGCTAGCAGGTTTCTCAAAATAGGGGATCCTTTTTTTTTTGGATGGTTGTAAAGGGAAACCAAAAGGACAACCACCATGTGGGGGATCCAAATTCTAAAACAGAGGAGCCACCCATTTGAGGAGGTCTGTTCTTCACTCGGGGTCCGGATAAGTTTGTGACTCCTTCGGTGTGACCACTTAGGTCTTTCTTATGGGACCCTCCACATAGGGGACCTTAAAAATGGGCGATGTCGTTTTGGTTTCCCATTAGATACCAACCAAACGGGGTCCAACATTTTGAGCAACACCCTTATGTTATGCACATGTTCGGGCCACGCACGTCATGTGTCGCAGTTCAGCCCGTCACGGCGCGTTTTTTATTTTCCATTTTTTCCTCCCGGGTGTGACTGTGACAAGCATCCTTCCGGCAGGTGTTCCTGTAGATTTGGCCTCGCTTCCTTTCAACCTGAAGTTTCGGCCGATTTTCCTGGTTGCTGGAATTGGAACACTGTCCGAGCCCGTTTGAGTAAAATTACGAGTTCACCCACCACCAAAGAAAAACCATTGAGAGGGTTCCTTATGTGCAGGTTGTGAACTATGGCAACCAGCCCAGAAAAGTTTGGGACCGGGTTTTCGCCATGTGGGTAGTTTCCAAAACATGAAAAAGGGGGGCCGAAAACATAGGGTGTCCAAAAACATAGGGGCTGAACCCAAATCAGGGGCCAGCTGTGAGGTCGCTGTGACTTTGCCCAAGCTTTCTGAAGGCGCCCTTGAAAAAAGCTTTGCATGGGTGTCTGGCCTGTTTGAAGTGGTTTAAATGGAAACCCAAAAGAAAGCCAAAAAAGTGGCCGGGCACCCTTGACACTCTATAGACATTGACCGGTTCACATGTCCCTCTGGAAAAATGGGGTTATGCAAGCCCAGTCTGTGGCCACCATGTCCTTAATGGAAACCCCATCTAAGTCGCACCCTGGTTGAATTTGATTGGGGAGTGTCCCCTTTCAGTCGGGATTCAGACCACTTTTGGAGGGAACGCGGCCCTATGAACAGCAACATGACTGAACTGATGGCGCTCCGAAAGGCTGCTTCCCAACCAGCTAGGTGAAAAGAATGGTTCGCGAGTCTGGGCGAATTCTGGCAAGTGCGTGAAGCCAGAAACCTAACATAGTGAATAGCCCAGTAAGGATCCTGCATCGTAGAATTAGGTATGCGTCGGGACCAAGATCGGCGGACGCTGGTGTTTCGAGGTTTGGTGTGTGTGTGTGTGTGTGTCTCAGGATCACTACACAAATTCTTGATCGAGGAACAACTGCGTCTATTTGGCAGCTATGACCACTTCATGATCGCTCAACGACGTCAGGATCACTGAAGATGTTTGCTTTGTGCGAAGATTTCATCAATTTTGCATAATCAAAGGCTAATGCTCTTGCTTCCCGCATGTGACTCAGATTGGTGGCTGCGGTCCAGCCTCTCCAAAGAAACGAGCTGCAAGCTTTGGGGACCAAATCACCATGGCCATGAGCGCATCCGACGATGGTCCTGACGCATGGCTAGAGCGGTCACAAACCAAATCCCAGTGAGGTCCGCATGTGACCCCAGATTCGCTTCAGGCGCCTTTTAGTTGGACTCCTTTGGGTGCGGATATGTTGCGAGTCCCTACATGTCTCTCTCAAGCAAGCCGTTTGTTTGACCTCGTCGGACTGCTCCTTAGCCCCAGATCATTTCCTTGCTAAAAAGAGAATCGTACAGTCCTCCGGATTAATCCGAAGCTAGTATTGCTAGATTTGTTTGCTTTGGGGGCAGCCCTTCCTTTAGCTTTTCTTGAGGACACATTGTTAGTGGTTTTAAAGGGACACCAACAGTATAACCACTATTTTGGGGGGTCCCACCCCCAAAAAGACACCCACTTTGGAGTCTCACAAGCTCCCGGGGACAGCGGAGGTCTATGTTGCAGCCCACGTCGGGTAAAGAAGGCGTTCCAAGGTTTGTTGCCAAGTAGACGTGTCCATTGCACCCACGTGCTCGTGGGAGCTCGGCGACCAGGACCAGAAGAAGCTGGACGTCATCACCAACGACGTGCTGAAGAAGGCTGGGGAAATGGGTAGGAGCCGCACTCAAATGCTTGGTAGATGCGCGTTACTCAGACAACTCAGAAACCATTAGTAGCAGCCGCCGGCGCCCTGTTGACTTGCTACTTGGGCTTTGGGCAGATCTCTCTACCGGGTTTTGATGGTCTCTGCTGGCTAAAGGAAGGTTTTGAGTGGGCATGGCTCACCGGCCATAGCCACTTCCCAAGTGAGCGAATCTTGGTACGGGATAGTCCCAACTGAACAGTTTTGCTTTTTTGCCTGGTTGGGGGTAGACCATTTTAATGCCAGGCTTTGATTATGACTCGTGCTGTGAGTGCTCGTTTGGCCCATTGCTTGTCTTGGCTTCCCATGATATCATTGCATGTGCAGGGCAGTACAATTTGGACCGCCATTTTTGAGAATATAATGTTCAGGTGGATAATGTGGGTGTGATTTTTAATATTGGTCCCTTTGGTGGACATCAAACTTTGTTAGGAAGTTCCTCAAATACGGTAGGAATCCAATTGAAGGAACTGTGGCCGGCACTTGGGGAGTTTGGACACGTCGTATGATGTGTTTGCACCCCTTTCTGCTTCCTTACGTGCGAATGGAATTGGCCATCATTTGGGCGGCGTGGACGTGAGGTTCCGACTCCTAACATTCCGTTCTCTATGTGGGTCTGTCCTTTTTTTGAGGGCACCCCTTGGGGGGGGGGGGTTAAAGGGGGCCTTTTTTTTGAGGGTGCCCTTTTAAAGGGAGAAGCAAGTTGGGGGGGCGGCTCCGATTCCGAGTCCGACGAGCGGTCCGATTCCTCGGGCGCCCGATCGAGCGGCAGGCGCTGCGGTACACGGGGAAGCTGGGCACCATGGCCTCGGAGGAGGAGGATATGCCCGTGAACGCCCAGATTGAGGCGGTCCCGTCTGCGGCGGTTTTTCGGTTTGGGCGGGTTGATTCAGGGTACGTCTGAACCCGCTGACCCGTGGAAGGGGATCTAAGAACAGGGTTCCGGAAGGACATAGAAGCGAAGACCGCCTGCTTTTTGAAATGTGCAATTTGGATCCTTAGCAGTGGGTTGGGTGAGTAGCAAGGCCAACGTGTTACAGCCATGCAACCCAACACTTGCCGCCGCACAAAGAAACAGATACAACTTGCAGGCGCGCAAAGAAGAAGCAGTCGCAGCACAAATGAAAGAGTAGTTGCAGATGGTACGATTGAACCGCAGTCTTCCTTTGTCTTCCTTTCTTTCATGTGGATGTGGATCAACAATAGGTACCCAAAATGGAGCCTTAGTAAATGGAAACATGGACTAAACCTGCGGTCCCCTAGTGGTTTAATTTTGACCCACACCCAATGTGGCGCAATTGTCCCTTTTGAGAGGGTAGCAGCCCTAGCCTGGCTATCCGTTTGTTCCATCCATTCTTGTTATTTTTCTGGGTTTGACGGTTTGACTGGCTTGGGGAGCACATGAGCAGGGGGTGATCAGCTACTCACTTGCAAGCAAACGAGCACGATGGAGGTTTCCAATCACTAAAAACCCATAAGAAAAGGGGTACCGAGCCTCGAAAAGGACACTCTTGTGGCATGCCAATCTTTCTCAGAGAAGGTTGGCAGAAGGACTACGACCTCAACACCGTAGCTCAACTGGAAGAAAATCGGGATTCCTGACATCAGGTCGGTGAAGTACAGTTTTCCCTTTTTCGTTCAAAAGGAACTTCCCGATGTTTCCCGTCTTTTTCTATGAACGTTTCATGCCCATCCCGGCCAAACTTCTGTTTCGTGAGACCTTCGAGACAACCGCGGCCGGCACGGTGCTCTCCGACACGGGGAAGTATGCCGCTCGCGCTGTGAACGAGCGCTCGCTGTCGCTTGTACCTGGGAGTGTCTTAGAATAGGAATTGGATTGGGTCCCAAACATGGTGCAACGGTTTTCACTTTGATTTCGCTTTTAAACCACCCCGAACAAGGGTAATTACCCTCAATAAACAAAGACACACACACACACACACGACCACAAAGAACCAAGCAAACACAGACACACCCTACAAAGGGGAATCAACAGGAGGTTGGCTTCTTCTCAAGCACGTATTTTGGTTTTGTTTCCCAATAAATACGTTTGGAGCTAATACCTGTTCATACACTCTTTTTTCCCTTTAAGGTCCTTGGGCTGGTTTCCCTGTACGCTTAGACCAAACCTGCGGGTCCTACGGCGATTTTTTTTTCCTTCTGGCGAGCTCAATTTGAATACTTCGGGGTCTTGTAACAAGCGAAATCCCACAGTGGAAGTGCTTTGCAATTTGCCCAATACCGATGGGTACAAAATCAACCAGTTCCTGCACCGCTTGAGAAGTGGCTTGTCCCATTTGCAGTTTGTTTTGTTCACAAATGGACCCACCAGTATTGTTCAGTATTTTGTTTACGGACAAATTCGGTATCCCAATTTGAATAACCTTTTGCCGCATGCGAATGTACAGCTAGAGCCTCCGGTGGGGTCCTTAGGTGACTAGCTTCGACACGCAACCGTTTGGGCATGTCTCAAAGTCCGATGGTTGCATGGATTTTGTCCATCAGTAGGGGAATGGTTTCAAACACTAGGTAGCCGACCATTGTCTTTAGGAAGGGGCTTGTTCTTGCGACCCATGATTTCTAGTTTGTTTGATCTCCCCCAACTAGATGGATACTAACAAAAAGCGGATTCCGTGTTCCGCTTGCGCCAAAGGACAAGTGATTGTGTTTCTCCGCATCCGATTGCATTTATTTCAAGAAAGAGGCACCTCATGATTTGAGAAGAGAAGCTGCAGGTGATGATTTTGTTTGACCCAGGACATGTGACCCAAGGATTCCTGACCCTTTTGGAGCCGCAGGTAATTCTCTGGATTCCCGATGAAATGCGACAGCATGAATCAACGCTAACAGTTCACAATGTTGCAGGCATCCTCTCTCCAACCATTGGCTACGGGGTTCCCGAAAAGGGAAGTAGGCAGTTTTTCAGGGTTCCTTAGGGTTCCTTAGGGTTCCTTAGGGTTCCTTAGGGTTCCTTAGGGTTCCTTAGGGTTCCTTAGGGTTCCTTAGGGTTCCTTAGGGTTCCTTAGGGTTCCTTCGGGTTCGCCTTAGGGAACCCCCTCTCCTTGGCCCCTAGAGACCCCATAAAGAAGTGAGTCCCGAGGTGAAGACTGGGTTCCGATTCCGAACAGCACAAGGCTCCAGAAAAGATACAGTACAACTGGAGACTTGATCAATCTACTCAGGTTTGGTGAGTTCAAAATTCCATTTCCCACAGACCAAAAACAAATCTTCAGCTGGATCTCTGAACTGCTTAGAGCTTCAGGCTGGGCCTTGGGTGCTTCTTGAGGTCTGTGGGTGTTGGGTTCCCATGCCACCCAAAAGGGTGGTTCTTCTTGGTTGGTTTTCAGGCGGACACAAGTCCCCAGAAAGGACACCCTCAAACAATGGGACACACCCCATGTAGATTTGCGCACGTGTCAAACAAAAGATACCCAAAAAAGGCGGGTTTTTCTTTTGCGTTCCCTGTAAACTGATCTGAAAACTCAAAAAAAGGCGAGACACCCATTTGCTTTTGGGGCCCTGTCTGACTGTCCCCATGTGGAGACACGACCATTTGCTTCGGCCCGAAGATGTTCGGGTCCAGGTGTGCGTGCCCGGACCTCGGCACGGGCAAGCGAATTGGGCCTTCGGGTGACCCTGGGTTGCAACAATTGGGTGGCTGGTCTTTTTTTAAAAAAGGGAACCCTCAAAATGGGTGGGTTTCCTCTTGGTTTGCCTTTGAAACCACAAGAAGGACACACCCAAGTGGGTTCGATAGAAGGCCCAAGATGTTTTGGATGTACTTGCGCTTCGGTCCTGAGGGCCTAGGGGTCTTTTATCAAATTTTGTCAAGGGCTATGGGCCCGGACTGGTGGGGTGGTCTGGGAAATGGGCGAGGGATGCAAGGCAGCAAGGAAATCCATGGTAAACCTCGGAATTCGGAATTCGGAGCCCAGTCAGAGCCCCTAAACGCCACCCCCATATCGTGGGGTCGGATGAATCCGAAGTTGGCACTCATGAAAAACTAGGCTGTGGGAGTTGATTCGAAGTCCCCCTTTCAAACATCGGTTGGTAGGACCCACGTTGGACGAGTTTCCGTTTGGTGGCGTGAGGTTTATCAGGACGTCTGATGTGAGCCACACTTGACGCTTAGCCAGGTGAAAGTTTAGCTTCTTTAAGAAAGGGAGCAATCTACTAACAACGCCGGGATGGGGGTGTTTGGGGGTAGAAACTGTTTCATATCTTGATTTGTTTTAAGCTTGAAATGAGTCCACGTTTTTTGTTTCAGGCCGCCCCCTTAGTTGGTGGTTTGGATTGTTGATTTTGGAATTTGAACTTCTGGTGTTTGTAGAGGGCAACTGGGAAACTACCCCCAGCCACCAAACCAACAGTCCACCAATCAGAGAGCTGATTGTTACCCTTTGTTTACCTAGGCTTCTTGAAGCAAAAGTCGGCGTTTTGTTAGGCGCCAAGCCAAACAAAACCGGGACCTGGGAACCGGTTCCGAGGTTCGACCCCCTGGACGGGAGCAGCAACGTGGACGCGGGCATCGCGGTGGGCACGATCTTCGGCATTTTCAAGGAGCCAGCGATGCCCGGCCTTGTGTCGGCAAGGCGAAAAGAAAAGCAAGACCACACGGACACACTCCATTGGGGTTCCATTTCGCGAGAAACACCTGTTTGGGTGTGTCTTTTTTAAGGGTACCCCTTTTTGCTTGGTTAAAAAAGGAAAACTAAAAGGAACAAACATTTTGTGGGGGCCCCCTCCAAAAAAGACGTCCATCTGTTCCATGTCTGGGTTTCTTGCTGGTGATTTGGCTGATTTCGAACCAGGCTCCCAACAATGATTGCCAACTTGGGGAACAGCAGGCCGAGAAGCGTCAAAGCCTCTGTAGCTTGTCCCTTTCTGTGTGTTCAACATCATTTTTGCGCCCTCAGAAGTGAGTGTTTTTTTTGTCCTTCTAAGCGGGGTGATGCTGAAAATGGCCGGATGTCCTCGCACAAGTGAATTCCGCGGTCCAATGTAAAGTTTTGGGGGTTGAACATTTAGTTCAGATCTCACTGGTTTGATATCGGTAATAATCTAGCAGGGCCATCATTTCCATCGTCTTTTTTTTGGAGGGGGTTCCTATGTTGTGGGGGAAGAACGGTAATTCTGACAATCGTGAGGGGGACGGGTGTTTTGTGTGTTGCCTGTGTTAAACTGCGCAATAACTGGGTGTATCGCAACGACTTGGGCCGGGGAGTTGGTTAGAAATAGTGCAATCTGGCTTAGATGGGTTTTATTCCGTTTAGCAGAGCCATCTATTTTTCCAAAGGTCACCTATGGTCTTGACAGATTTGAACGAGATGGGCTCTTGGCCGGTGTGCGATCAACGAAGCTTAGATGACAAGCGAGTCTCAGATGAGACTCGGAATATTTTCAGCTCCGTTTCCCGCATCCGAGTCTTGGGTTTTGGCGTTGGCTGGGAGGGAGGCCAATGGATGAGAACAGATTCCAAGAGTGAGGAAAGAGATGATGGGGAAGTTATTCATACCTCCAACCGCTTCCGTCCCCACATACCTTTCCCTTCCTTCCAGCTCCAGATACTGCGCTGGAAGGTAGGATAGTGAAAGGTGGTGGAAACAACTGTTCAATATTTGTGCAACACTGTGTGGATGGACAATATCCTGCACCACTTTGGTGAGAAGCGAAACCATTGTTTGCTGAAACTTACAGGGGAATCATCATTCCAGGGTTTCTTAGGTTGTGAGAAATGGACTTCGTCCACAGTATTTGTGCAATATTTACTGGCCCGTGGCCCGGGGGGGGGGAGTGTACCCAGCGCGCAGAGGAGATGGGGGTCAAAACATCCGGATGGGGTGACATCAAATCGCTTTTGGTTTGATGCCCCCCCCCCCCCCCCACCCGTTTTTCTCGACGCGTCAGAAAAACTGGACTCCGGGCGGTCCAAATCGAAGGACCAACTCTAGCCCCTCGCAGCGATCCGACACCTTTCTTGGGTTCGAAAAGTTTCACGGGTTCCGATGGCCTGCACCTTAAAACTGTGTCAACGGTGTTTCTTTCTGAGTTTTCACCCTTCCCCCCGAAGTCCCCTTCCCAGCGCCGCGGCCTTGCACTTGCTTGCCGAATTCGCAGGAGTCCGAAGAGACGAGCAAGGCCTGCGACCTGCCCGCGAACCTGAAGGACGGGTCCCATCCCCTTTGTGGCGACAACTGGGCTCGTCTTCTTTTGATACGCCTTGTTTGGTGTGGTTTTGAGGAACAAAGGAACACCACCAATTTTGAGGGTTCCCCATTATGAGACAACCCCAAATCGAGCGTGACAAAACCCCTCTAATCCCAGGTGTCTGTCTCAGGACACTGAAGCAAGGAAGCCGTTTGAGTGGCCCATGGAGCAACCGCAGGGCCGTAGACTTGATGCTTGCCTGAGCTCAGCTCGAGTGTATGTGGACGATCTTCCCCTGAAGAAACATGTTATTGGGATGCCTGCGCAAATTCGGAAAATAGAAAGAATGAAACTACATCGAGTTTGGGTCTGGGTGACGCAATGTATCTGCTGGACTGAAAGCCCGCCCTCGCTGGCACCCGAGAGAAAGACCCCCCAAAGTTGATGGAACGGCTTTAGACCCACGTTTTGGTCGGGCTCCTCATTCCAACTTCCCTGCCTATCGAGGCAGCAAGTCAGCCGTCTGCTTCGTTTCCCGGGCTATAAAGGTCCACCAACCACTTAGGGGATTCCTTGTCAAATCTCGCCGTGACCTTTGAGGTGCACCCGGCTTCGGGTCCTTGACCCCAATCACTTTTGAGATCTGATTTCCGACTCTTAAAACTACTTCTCCCTAGCCGGGAGACAGGTTCCGGGGATACTCCGAGCGGTTTTGTTTCGATCAACTTCAGGGTTGCTCCGAGCCTCTTTGCTCACGAAGAACCAACGTGTGGGGTACAACGGGTTCAAGAGGTTTTTACAGTGTTTGCCTGAACGATGTCCTTTGGTTTCCTATCAGTTTCCTGTGGGTTTCCTTTTTGGTTTCCTCAGGTTTTTTGTTGTTCCCTGAACGGTTTCAACTTCGCTTTCGAGGACCTGGACGACGACCAAGTCTCCTGCCTGGCCGCCACTCTCCAGCCGGGCAAGGCCGATTCGGCCGATTCGGCCGATGGTCCCGGGCCCCTCATGGCGTGATTTTGTGTTTTCTTTTTGGTGCCGAAGGGCCCAAAAGTTGGTTGGAAGGCCATTCGGCTGGTAGGTACATGCTGGGGGTGGGTGGGGGTTTGTTAAAGAGCCCTGAACCGAATCCCTTGGACCTTCCCAGGGTTTCCCTACAGGAGAGGCGCGTTTTTTGGAAACAAGTTCGGCTTTTCCACTGATCTGGCCAGGTGATCGACCTGGATCTGTCCCTTTTTGGGACCTCCAAATCAGTGGACCCCCCCACCACCCGGTGAAACTCAGCTTTTGAAGGGGAAACCCAGGGTGACCCCTGAAAACATCACCTTCTTCTCTAACCCAAAATTGATTTTCCCCTGATGCTGTTTTGGGGGTCACCTTTCCGAAATACAGAAGGACTTCCGTCGGCGTTCACAGCTGCAGGTTGGAAACCATGGGAACATGGTCATATAGTGTTGTTTCAGCTTTGTATGGGGGTTTCTCAAAATAGAGGACGCCTTTTTTGGTTGTAAAGAGAAACCACAAGGAAACTACCTACCTGGAGAGGACCGCAATTTTGAGAAGCACCCAGATGGTGGCTAGATGCTGTTTTCATTTCGGTTGTTTTCAGCAGAGTGGCAAGTTCTGGAGGAGTCACCACGAGAGAAAAAGCAAAAAACATCTTCCGGGCCCACAGCCAAGTCGAAACAAAGCCACCCAGGCTTAGAAACGCATTTTGCGCTTTTCGCGGGGAAAAGGCAGGGTCCCCACAGGATACAATTTTGGGCCAGTAAAACACCACCGAGGAGTCAGCTGGTTTGAGGATCGTAAGACAGGTGGGTGGCTTCTTTTCTTGAGTTGGTACCCTCATTTCTGGTGCTTTTTTAAAAGTGCAACCAAAAGGAGAGCCGTTGCTCCATTTTGGGGGGTCTGATTCGGGGAAAAAACAGAGGAGTCACACCTAGGTAGTTTTTGGAAGCCCCTTTTCCGAGCCCGGAAAAAGCGCCGAAGACCATTTTTCGACACGGCGGGCTAGCGCGGAGTCGGCGGGCTATGCAGTGTTTCGCCTGAGGCTGGATGCACACGTCCAGCAATGAACCCCCAGTATCAACATCTAGTCTATGAGGAGAAACTAGCCGTTTCCAAGAAAACAACTGGAGGAGATGCTGAAAGATGCCACTGGAAATCCTTGCTGTTTTCCTGCTGGCTTCCATGACATAGCGAAGCAAAACTATGGGTGTTTCTCAAAATAGGGGAACCCCCCGGTTAACACATGGGTTGGCCCCCCCCAAAAAAGAAGAAGGAAGAAAGCCACACCCAAATATGTGAGCCCGATCCAGCCTAAGAATCTGTCGAGGCGTTGGTGGCTGCGGGCTACGTCTTGTACTCATGCTCCACCGAGTTGGTCTTCACTTTGGGTAGGCGGGCTGTGGATATTTGGGGTCTCTTTGAAACACATATGGGGTGCGTCGTTTTCTTTTAGGGGACTCGCCTCCCTCCCAAAAATAAAGACATGGTGGGTTTCCTTTTGGTTTCCCTTTAAAAACCAGCCAAACAGGGGGTTCACCAATAACAACAACAGTTTTAGAACATAGCATGAAACAGCATCATACATATATATATATATGGGTTGGGCCAACATAGTTCTACTCGCGGAGGGACATGTCAGTTTTGGTTTCCTTGTAAAACCACCCTGAATAGGGTACCGTTCGCCTCAAAACATGGATGCATCGCGCTTGCAGGGCCCCTTCGAACACCTGGAGTGACAAAGGGAGGGACTTCCTCAGCAAGTTTTTGTTTGGAGAAGAGGTCCCTCATTGAGATTAACGACTGCGCCCTTTTGGGGAAGCTTTTGTAATGTGGTCCGGGCCTTGTGAAGCACCACCAATTGGGGTGACTTGGGGTGACGATGGAACTGAAAGCGAAAAGCTCCACCCGATTATGTGATGGGGTGTGTCTGTTTTTGGCGAACCTCTTTGTGGTAGGTGTTGGGATCAAAAAGGACACCAACCATGTTGGGTGTAGCTGTATTTTGAGACACCCCCAAAGCACAGGCCACGGTTTTGTGTTGATTGCTGTGTGCAGCAGCAGCTCGTTGTGCGGACAGACCAGCTTTGCTCGTGCTGTGGATGTGGCGAATGCGCCCAACGTGTTGAGGTTGTCAGAGTAGGGTGGCCCTGAATGGTTGGGCGAATGGGAAACCACCCCTAGCCACCAAATCACCAATCCAACCACCAATTGGGTGGGATTTTCAGGAATTCCCTGTTGTCTTTTTTGCTTCATGTTCCATTCCTTTCGACCAAAGTGATCACTTGTTGCGACCAGGTCGAATCGATCCGTCTGGCCAAAGGGATGCAGCTTCAAGGGCCCAGACACGTGGGACGCTTTCCTTTTTTTGGCAGGGGGTTTCTTGGGAAATCCGGGTGTTTGGGCAACCAACTCCCGCCAATTCTTTGGGTTTTTGTGTCGCTTTTCTTTTGGAGGGGGTTTCCCTTCAACGTCTACCAAACAAATTGCGCCCATGAAATTTCTGCAGTTTCTCAGCTTCGGCCCAGGGGTGTGGTGGGCTTCACTTTGGACAGCTCCATCGGTGAGTATGTGCTGACCCGGCCCAACATCACGCCGAGACCTCAGCCCGTGGCTCGTGGAGCCGCTGTTGCGTTGATGCTCTGCGGGGCTTGGGAGGGAGGGGGTACGCAGAGTTGGTTTACAAAAGGGCGGCCCGAAAAAGAAAGTGCCCCCGTGGACCTGACATACAGGAAGCCATCCCATGAAATACATCTTCGAGCTGCGTTCCACCTGAGGGGCGGAAATTTCCTGGGGGGCAAAACACGCGAAACGCACATTTTGATGGGCCTTAAAAGCCACGGCGATTTCTGGGCGCCGCTCAAAGCTTCTGAGGCTGCCCTTTATACGTCTAACCTCTGACTTTTTGGGACATGAGGTGCTCCAAATTGGTCCCCTTAGAACAGCCCACAAAAAATGACAGGCCCAAGTGTCTTGCCGCTGCATTTGTGCTGGCAGCCACAAGTGCAGGCAGGAGTAGAGGAAGTTGTTTTTTTTCCCTCGCATCGGGGTCAGCCGTCGGCCGCCCTGAGGATCCCGACGCGTGGCAAGATCTACTCCTGCAACGAGGTCTCGAGGGCGGAATTCGGCTTGGCTTTAGGGAGCTTCTCAAAGTGGGATTCGGACTCCCGAAATCACTGGCATTCAACGGGAAGCCAAAGGAGCCTCAACGTTTGGTGTAACTTAGGGCGGGGTTTGGCAGGCTGGTACCTAGGACGCTGGTGGACCTACCATGAGCTGCACGTTTTGGCCTCTTAGAGAGCGGTTTGATCTCGGTGATTCGGTGAGCTTGCCCAGATCTCTCGGCTTGGTAGCAGGTTTCCCTTTGGAATGTATTTGGCACCCCCGAAAGACAGGGAGGGCAGATCTTACATTGCGCTTACCCCTGACCACCTCTGGAAAGGCGGATCGCAGGGCTCACAGAGGATTCTGAGAGGACTCTGACCTACCGAAAATCCACACTTGCATGCCTACTTTGCCCTTGTTGAGCTTGTTTCAGTTGCTAGCTTTGTTTTGTAGGGGTTTGTTCAATCCTTTCGTGGGGGCAGCACGCATCAAGTTTGTTGCCAACACTGCAAGGGTTGGGGGATTTGACGGCTAGAGAAATTGGACTCGAACTCAAGTGTCAAAAGCGAATGGACACATTTTTTGCATTTTTTGTACAGGTTTGGCAAAGAACAAAAGGATGGGACATTGGATCAAAGCCACATCCGTGTCAAACCGGCCAACAGAAAACCGAGAGGAACCCTTGACAGGAGGGCCCAGTATTGGAAGCCATGGATACTATGTTGAAAGCGATGCGTCCCCATCAACGCTCTCCCTTGCCTACAGAACTACAGGCAAATTGGCAGGGCCGCCGATTTGCCGATTTGCCTATTCATGGCTGGTCTTTTGTGTGACCCCAAAGGCCCCTTAGAGCTCTTGGAAACTGGCTTTTCCCCTAAACCAACAAAAGGTGATCGACCTTGTGCTCAGGAGGCCAGTATTTGCCCACCTGCCTGCTGCTTGCTTCACTTGCTGGGGGTGTGCCCCCAGTGGCAGACTTAGCGCAACAAAAGCGATTTCGCTTTGCCCTTTTGCTCCATTATTTTCCCAAACCAGCAACAAGTCATAAGTTTTTGCAGGTCCAAGTCACTTCAGCCCAGTTCTGAGGGCCTGACAAGTGGTGCAAGCCATGATCACCACCCATTTCGCTTCATTTCTCAAGGTTTTCGGTTGGTGCGCGAGCCGTTAATACGGGTCTTGCAAATGGGGGAACCATCAAATGGCGGGGAACCTCGCAGATTTTCATCTAAGTCACACCACGCCAAAACTGGAATCCTCCAAAAGAAATCGGCATACCTGCCTTTGTGTCGGCACAAGGATTAGACATACCCCATTGCGCCCTGCACAACTTGTTCGACAGGTGGGTTCATCATTTCAATAGGCCCCAACTTAGGCCCTCAGATGCGATTGAGGGAAGGGTCAAGGCCGCTGCAAATTGGCGTGGACCGCAAAGGGACAAACATTTGATGGTCAAAAGCGGAGATCAAGTGGGAGTCACCAAAGAACGGAGAAGACCACAAACACAGACAATACTGGTTGCCCACTTGGCTACCGAATAGTTTGTTAATAAGGGTTAGAAAGATCCTAGCGGTTGTGAAGTTTATCCCATCATCCCATCCAGAACCAAGCCATTTCAGCCAAGTGCACGTTTTTCGGGGGCCCAGCTTTGGCGAAGCTGCCACTTTCGAGCCGGGTCAGGCCAACATCGAGAACTGGGATGAGCCCATGCAGAAGTACATCAGGGACCGGGCCAGTGACTGGAAGGTCCCCGAAATTCTGCGGAAATTTCTCGGTTCGGTCCATCCCGTGGTTGTCAAGGACCCTGCCCCATGGGGGCGAACAAGGCGCCGAAAAAGCGTGCCTAGTAAGGTCTGCGAGGGCTCCTTGTGGCCCCCTCGGTAAACAAAAATCCGCCGTTGGGTGGCCTTGACAACCAGGAAACCATACTGTGGATAGACGACATCATGCACGACTTGGAAAAACTATTGGAAGCCATTGTTCATCAATTGCTGCACGCTGGCCAGAGTGATTGCTCTTGGAGTCCCCCCCGAAAAAGGTAGACATATCAGGCACCATGTTCCCCACACTGGGATATGCTGGTATATACTTGTGTGGACAAGTCCGGGAGGGAGGGGGAAAGCCATTTGGTACCAATGCGTGGGGCACTTCTTCGGAATTGGCGGCTTGTGGTTCGCAGCCCGACTTTGCAAAGTCAAAGCAGGCCCATGGGAGAACCCACGCGGCTGATACACGAGTCTCGTGTCCAGAAGGAGAGCTCTTATTCTGCACCGTGTTTTGATGCGATGTTTATCTGCAGGGTGAAGGTGACGACTTCGTCGGGGAACTGTCAATCCGCCCTTTTCGGGGGGGCCTCCACCTTTGCATTCAGCCCATTTTTGCAACATCCTTACAGTCAAAGCAAATGGTTCAGACAACACAATCGCCAAATAGGTGAGTATTGAGGATTGTTGAGCTCAGAAACCCTAATTCCTGTTTCTTGGTGGTTCCCAGCCGTCCCCTTGCCCTGTGAAGCCTGTAGGGTTTAGAGGGGGTTTCCATTTCACCCGCTAAGTGTTAAGCTTTTAGCCGGGGATCTGAGGACACGGCTTCTAATCATTCAGCCCCTGTTACCTTGAGGCTGCTAAGACGGGGGGCTCGCTTCGACCGAACTGCGCTCATCCATGGCGGATGTGGCGGACGTCTTCCGCGTCTATGCGCCCACGGGCCGCGGGGCGACAAGGGAAGTGGGGTCAGCTCAGGGCTCGCTATCTTTCCCCTTTCTGGAATCTCCTCCAAAGCTTTTCATTTTTTAGGATAGGCTAAGCGGGTGTGTCATTTTTGAGGGGACTTCTTTTTCTTTTCTTTTTTTGTTTTTTTTTGGGGGGGGACATTGAAAGGAATTCACCCAATTTGGGGGTTTCGAAGTTGTGAGACAACTCCAATATGAAGCAGTCGCTGAACGTCTAAGCTTTTCCTGTAACCCATTTTTGTGCGCCAAGACTGTCGCCTGGCTTCCTGCAGGTTGGGGCCAACACCGTCTTGGTGAGATGCTCCGTACCATGCTTCAAACATGCTCCAAAAGGTGTGCCGCAAGGCTCCAACCGATTAGTTGGTTGCGGGAGAAACCTCGTTTCGATGTGTCTGGCCTCAGTCCTGCAAGAGAATGTCTGGGTTGCTCTCGTGGTTGATTCTCTATGGAACCCAAGTTGGTTCAACAGATTTTGAGCAGTACCACCATGAGACCCCGACCCCGGTACCTTGAGAAAGGGCAACCAAATGTGGTTTGAAACATGTTCAAGCAAGGCCGTCATGTTCAAGTTTCTTCTTCCTCTTTTTTTCCTTCTTCTTCCGTTTTTGTTTGTTTTAGCCTGTCTCTTGGTTTGCTTTTGTGTTGGCTTGTCTTCCTTTGTCGGACCTGGGGCCCCCGATTGAGACTGAGGCCAGATGGACGTCCGCGGCTTCATGAAGAGCATGCGCGAGGCGTGCTTCCTGGACGAGCACTTCAGCAAGGCCAAAAGTCGGATCACCAGGGGTAAGCCTCACGCTTCCCTTTTGGAACTCAACAAAAAGGGGCACCTTTCGCCTCGTAAAAAGAATACTGTATATGCTTCAGAAAAGCTGGTTGACATATCACTGGACAAATGTTCTCTCAATTTGCTTCCAGGAAAATTAAAAAAGCAACTGGAAGCTTTGGTGGTTTGGATTAATAACTGGATTTGGATGTGATCCCCTGAAAATGGGAAACCACCCCTCCAAACAGGTGTCCGATTCCCAGCAGGTTCTTTTTGGGTTCCATGCTAGTCTGGGGAGTAAGTCTGGTTCTTCAAGACAGTATGTTGGTTTTGAAAAGAAGCCAAAAGGAGACTAAACAGCTGTTTTGGGGTTTCACTCGTTTTGAAGCAACACCGTCCGTGTTTTTTGAGGGGTGCCCTTCTTTGTGGTTGAAAGAAAGCCAGAAAGGAAATCACCCTTGTGAGGGTTTTCTAGAAAATCCAACCAAATAGTGGCCCCCGAACATGGCAGTGTTTCCGCATGGTTTCCTTCAACTACCAACGGGGATCCGGCATTCAGTAAAAACGGCCTAAATGCACAGAATGGGGGTGTGGGGTGGTGTCATCACACTCCAGATTGACATGGTGGCCTGGTTCACCGATTCCCAAGGAGGCAATGTTAGCAGGTGGCTCTCCTACCTGGTTTAATTGGGGTTACCCTTCCTCAAATGGACAATTAACGTTCACACCAAAGAAACCATCACTGACACCATGATACTTGTTGGCATTTATGTTGGGGAATCAAACCATTCCCGGGCTTCTTTGGTGGCGCGAAATGGATTTTGCAACCATCCACAATGTTATCCACCTGAACATATAACGTATATATGCATCCACCTCCCTCCCCCGGAAAGAAAAAAAGGAAGAAAACTCAAAAAGTAGCAAGAAGAACGAAGAACACCAAGAAGCACAAGGCGAGCCGGCGGTCGCCTTTCGGGCGCGCGCACACGTCGCTCAGGTGGATGCGGACCTGGCCTTCTTCAGGGCAGCCCGGTCCCGCAGACTCGGCCAGGAGGACCTGGCGGGCCGATTCGGCCGCTTGCCCGGGGCCAACGAAGACCAAGGCAAACGGTCATGGGGTTGCTATCCATGTCATCAAACGACCGGCTCCTTTTGCTTGGGGTCAGCTCAACGGTCATGGGGCTATTCGCCATTTGTGTCCGGTTCCTTTTGCTTGGGGTTAGCCGACCTAAGAAGCGCTCTTGATGGAGTCATTCAAAGTAGCGCGGCGACGCAGGCTCCCATCTGGTGTAGCACAGCATGCATCCCATGCACTGCTTGTCAGCAGCTGTTGATGTACAAGCTGATGCTCTGAGTCCATGAGCTTGAAATTCGTGTGCGGCCCAGTCCCTGCAGGGCGCGCATTTCTCGGAGAAGTGCACTTATTGCAAAGATTGCTGGCTTTTCCAACTTCTTGCTCCCGTTTAGGCGGATGGAAATTCCACCCTCATTGGCCACGTAGACTGGAGGAGGGACGTTATTTCAGGCGAACGCCACTCGTAGTGGTGCCTGGCGCTTTCGTCCACCGGGGGGGGAGGGGTTGGTAGGCCTTAGCTTTGCCAGGACTACATGGGCATCCTCAAGGCCATCGCCAGGCGCGGCTTTTGATCGCTCGAGCGCGCTGGCGGAACCCAGCCATTCAAGGTGCCAAGAACCCTTTTGAGAGCATTTTTTCCCCGGAGTCCGGTTCCGGAAAGATGGCAAGCAGTTGGTTTCACACTGCTGGGCTGGTGTCCAGCTGTACCCTACTCGCCAGAGAACCCCGCAGCAGAAGCTTTGCGCGAGGCGCAGAGAGGTCAGCGAGGAGGAGGTGTTCCAGCGAGCCGCCGACACCGCGGGCGTTGTTGCCCGCGAGCGGCGCCAGGAGAATCCTTCGGAAGGGTGGCTGGGGATTTGTTTTGAGGTTGTAGCACCCACGCTTTGTTCTCCTACTGTTGGTGGTTGAGAAATCCATTTTGCACCACTTTGGAAAAAGCATGGACACCATTGTTTGTTGGTTTTTACAGGGCAGTCATCATTCCAGGGTTTGTTTTGTGGTGCGAAATGGATTTTGTCCATCCACAGTAGGGCTTAGCTTCTGGGGTCTCCCCCAAAACTATCTTACAAGGGTTGGCTAATGGAACAGAGTCAGAACATCTATTTTTCAGTGTACTCCAGATGTGGGCCACCGCTACAAGGATAATTTTCTGCAATTGAGGCTTTGTTTGCTTCCATGTTAGCTTGCAGCGTATGTTGCATTGTAGGTTGTAAGGTTCACCACATGCCAAGGGTCAAAACGCCACCCTGGTAAACGGCCAGCTTGTCAGATTCGGTAGCTAGGCGCCGGACTCCGGACCTCAAATCGGTGATGTTGCCAAAAGAGTTGCTACGGTTTCCATGTTGGTTTGAAGGCTTCCATTTGCTGAAGGATACTTGGTGGTTCCCAGCCATCCGGTTGCTTAGATGTTTGGGTTTGTAAGGTTTAGCGGTTGGGTGTCCATTTAACCCACTAAGAGTTACAAACTTTTAGCAGGAGATCAGAACACGGCCAGCCCAGTTTCGAGCTTCTTTTTTCCACATGTCGCTTTGATGTGTTTTGTTCTGATCAGCTTGGGGTTGTGGCTGCTGCTGTGATTGCCTTTTCGTTCTTGGCGGATTAATCCCCAGAGGCCCCCTTTTCATTGGTGATCTTGGGGACTGTCCAGGTTTCAAGCTCATGGCAGGTCAACTTGTGACATTTCATGTTGTGTCGCTTGTTTGCGTCGCTCGTATGTCCCAAACGCCGAATTGACCAATTGAGGAGGAATCGAGGACGCTAAAAGCGCAACACTCTTTTCATTCTTACCTCATGGGTGTTTCTTGAAATAGGAATCGGTCCCCCAAATAAGCCCAAAAAGGGCCGTTTCTTTTTTGGTCCCCTTTAAATGCCAACCAAAAGGGGTCCGAATTCGGTTTTAAGAAAGTCCTTCGTGGTCAACCTCGACTTTCCTTGCTCCGTCGATTTCCACCCCCTTCTGCCCCCTGATGGCATCCTCACCGAACGACCAACCAAGCCCAATCTGTTCTGTGGAATTTTGATGTTGTGGGTTCTCATGAAAGAAGGCACGGGGGTGCCCTTGCCTCTGCATGTTTGCGGGGAGAAGCCCCCGAATTGAATTCATGCCCACATACTAGGCGCGGATTAATAAACCCCTGGTTGATTGATGGGGGGGA